TTTACCTACGAAATTAAACTTTATTTTGTGAAATGGTTGTTGAAAGCCCCATTGAATTTGAATTGCATTTATTTAGAGTAAAATTTACATAAAGTTTTTTATCACAATTTCTGCTAATTGCGTGGTGCTTCACTAGAATGATTACAATTGATGTGGATCTACTTCTTCTTGTCAGTATTGTCCGTCAACTTATGATCTAAATGCTCGTCCAAAATTGCCCTGTCAATACCCTATCAGATGCTCATATTTCTAGAACATATCTCATTGATAATATTATTTTAGTGAACAAAAAATATGGCCAGACAGCTTTTTCACTTCTATAATAAATTTAAAGTAAATGATTGAATAGATTGGCTACTTCTTCAATCTAATTATCCTCAAATACCTAGAATTCAATTTCTTCTCTTAATATGTATGATACTAAGAAAATAAGTTTTTAAATGGTATGAAATGAATAAATGAATACTAAAATATCAATTCTGCTTTTCTTTTGTAATCCATATTTGATGAATTCACTTCTAATATCATAGTTTCTACTCGAACAGATAAAGCATTATTATACAAGTTGAATAACCTTGTATATGTTACATAACCTTAGAAGCGGGTACTCTATTTAATTAATTTAACCACTTTAAATTATTTAACTCCGTGAGTATTTCGTGCTGCTTAGCCAATATTTTTAAATAACACCACAATTCTACCCATTGTATTTAATGTCGATATTATGGTGTAATTTTCCTTGAAGAACAATCTAAGCATATACTTAACGTTTTTTATGAGTTGAAGAAAAATTTTTTTCAAATTGAGCGGTTGGATTCTTTCAAGTTAAACTATGCATTGTTAGAGAACATTCTAAAAGGTGTTTGGTATATCTACAATGAAAATGAATAATTTCTACATGAGCACCGAATGTCGGATTTTTTTTTCTAAATAATTGTAGTGCAAAAATGCTAAAGAAACTGTAGGTAAATACTTAGGCGTCCTTTTATAAATTACTCATGCATAGTGATTTAACAATTGATCATATCATTCATCCTTCTGTAATTTTAGAGATAAAGCAGATGTAAAATTTGCACTCCTTAACTCTTGTTCGATACAAACTATCCTAATAGTTACCATTTGAGAATTGAAAACAGAAAAACATAAACTTTTTGTTAAAAAAAATTTTTATAATTAAGAAATCATTAAATTTTAGAATTTTTCCCAATATCAAAAATGAAGATAACAAAGGAACATTGTAATGATAACCGAGTAAAATATGTCTCCATAGAATTCATAAGTTTTGTCATCCTTTAATTTAGTTGAATGATGATGTTTAAAATAGGTTTTGGAAGAGAAATATCAATCAAATATCCAAGCTTTAAATATTCCATAATAAATTAATTGACCATAAATAATAAAAAAATTGAGAATTTAGAAAAATTCAATCTCTTTAATTCACTAAAACCAAATAACCAATTAATTCTTCAAAACAACATATGAAAGAATAGTCAACAACAAATACGATAATTACCCTAATATAAATTGGTTTCTTTAATTAATATAAGGATCTGGAACAACAAATAAAGAAGATAATAAAAGATGTACAAGTAGATTAATTGGAGTTTTGATTTATAAAATAAATAAATAATTAAAAGTATTTAATATGCAATGTGTTAATCAAGATAGCATTCGAAATTTGACTGCCCCAATTTTTCCACACTTCATTTTGATGTTATTTAAAAAAAATTAGTAGAAATCTGCTTCATCAATTGAATAATAATAATAATCTTAAAGATTCATCAAATTTAAAGTAATAATTTATTCTGTTTCTGGTGTTGAATATTGTTTATTGGTTTGGAGTTAGTTAGGAAAGAAAAAAATATCAAATCAAAATGTAACTTGAAAATTCAATTTGTTATTGACAGATGACATCAAAAATAATAAAATAAAAGAACCTAGTATTCTTTAATCAGTACTAATTTACTCATATTAATTATGAATTTAGGTCTAATTTTAACAAAAATCATTTATTTAAATTTGTAATAATTTGTAAAATTAATTTAGTCAAAAAATAAAAATTTTAATTCTAAATTTATAAATACATTAAGCTCAATAAAAATTGTTAGTTTGATTATTAAAATCTAATCATTATTGATCTTAAATAAAGGTAAAAAATTGTTATGCCACCTTTTGATCTTTCTGCATCGCTAAAATTAATTGATAATGCATTACCTATATAATAATAATTAACATATAAATTACCCTTGCCACACCATGCATCAACATCTTTAGGGTTAATACAATTGCTTCTTCATATTAATTCAAATTTCCTAATGCAAAACCTATTTATATTTAACTATGAAATACCCTTATTACAAAATGCATCAACATATTTATGGTTAAAGGATATTGCTTTATTGTAACATTCAATTGCTTCTTCATATTATTTCAAATCACTTAATGTGTTACCTATATAATAATAATTAACATATAAATTACCCTTTTTATTCCAAGCTTAAGCATATTTTGGGTTAATAGATATTGCTTCATTGTAACATTCAATTGCTTCTTAATATACATCAAGCATCTCCTTTTAAGCAATACTTGGTAATG